CCGGAAGATGAACATATTGATGAGCATATTCCATTCCCTACTATATTCACCAGATGATGAACATTTCCTTCGCCTACTATGGCACCAGTTGATGAACATATTCCCTTGCCTACTATAGGCACCAGAGGATGAGCATTTTCCATCGCCTACTATAGGCCCCAGATGATGAACATATTCTTTCGCCTACTATAGGCTCCAGATGATGAACATATTACATTGCCTACTATAGGCACTAGGTAATGAACATATTCCTACCTCTACTATAGGCTCAGGATGATGAACATATTCCTACGCCTACTATAGGCTCAGGATGATGAACATATTCCTACGCCTACTATAGGCACCAGATGATGAACATATTATTTCGCCTTCTATAGGCTCAGGATGATGAACATATTCCTTCGCCTACTATAGGCACCAGATGATGAATATATTTCTTTTCCATTATAGGCACCAGATGATGAACATATTCTTTCGCCTACTATAGGCTCCGGATGATGAACATATTCCTTCGCCTTCTATCGGCACCAGATGATGAACATATTTCCTTTCCATTATAGGCACCAGATGATGAACATATTCCTTCGCCTGCTTTAGGTTCCGGATGATGAACATATTCCTTTAACTTCTATAGGCACCAGATGATGAACATATTTCCTTTCCATTATAGGCACCAGATGATGAACATATTCCTTCGCCTGCTTTAGGTTCCGGATGATGAACATATTCCTTCGTCTACTATAGGCACCAGATGATGAACATATTCCATTGCCTACTATAGGCACCAGATGATGAACATTTTCCTTCCCCTGATTTAGGCTCCGGTTGATGAACATATATTCCTTCGCCTTCTATAGGCACCAAATGATGAGCATATTCCCTTTCTATTATAGGCACCAGATGCTTAACATATTCCTTCGCCTACTTAAGCCTCCGGAAGATGAACATATTCTTTCGCCTACTATAGGCACAAGATGATGAACATATTCCTTCGCCTGCTTTAGGCTCCGGATGATGAACATATTCCTTCGCCTTCTATAGGCACCAGATGATGAACATATTTCTTCGCTTATTTAATGCTCCTGATGATGAACATAATCTTTCACCTACTATAGGCACCAGATGATGAACATATTCCTGCGCCTGCTTAAGGCTCCGGATGATGAACATATATTCCTTCGCCTGCTTTAGGCTCCGGGTGATGAACATATTCCTTCGCCTACTTAAGGCTACGGATGATGAACATATTCTTTCGCCTTCCATAGGCACCAGATGATGAACATATTCCTTCGCCTGCTTTAGGCTCCGGATAATGAACATATATTCCTTCGCCTACTTTAGGCTCCGTATGATGAACATATATCCCTTCGCCTTCTATAAGCTCCGGATGATGAAAATATTCCTTTGCCTGCTTTAGGCTCCGCATGATGAACATATTATTTCGCCTACAATGGGCACCAGATGATGAACATATTCCTTCGCCTGGTATAGGCTCCGGATGATGAATACATTCCTTCGCCTGCTTTAGGCTCCGGATGCTGAACATATTATACCTTCTCCTACTATAGGCTCCGGATGATGAACATATTATACCTTCACCTACTATAGGCTCCGGATGATGAACATATATACCTTCACCTACTATAGGCTCCGGATGCTGAACATATTAAACTTTCTCCTTCTATAGGCTCCGGATGATGAACATATTATACCTTCACCTACTATAGGCTCCGGATGATGAACATAGTATACCTTCACCTGCTATAGGCTCCGGATGATGAACATATTATACCTTCACCTGCTATAGGCTCCGGATGCACCTGGATGATACATATCTTCATTCACCTGCTATAGTCTCCGGATGATGAACATATATACCTTAACCTACTATAGGCTCCGGATGCCCCTGTATGATACATATCTTCATTCGCCTGCTATAGGCCCCGGATGATGTGTCTGACGACGCCGGTATTGATTCCAGTGTTACGTCTCACGGGGTCTTGTTGTTCGCGTCAGAGCGGGTGATGGATGGGGGACATGTTTGGTACTCATTAATCTACCAGTAATATACTAGTGTAGATGAATTACACTCGATACAATTACCGGTGATAGATTTACCAATCGTCCCTTGCTATTCTCTATCATTTGTATCATCTATCATTGACACAGCTGACTACAGTTTTAAAGAGATCATGCCGTAAATACACTTTTTGCATTGTTTTGCGTTTCTCAGGGCGACATGATAACATGTCTGTAACTTGCACATGTTAAATGCAATTTGACTGTAGTCACCAAACTCATACATGTTAAGTTAAATGTTATTTTTGGTTTAACCGCACAGAGATGATACAAGACTACAATATAGGAATGGAAATTATATCTCAAATATAGCCGCTATAAATCAACAGGATTTCGATAGACCGTATATATTCTCATAGCACAAACAGTGAAATGTTTTTGTGACGTTTCGATGACAGTATGGTGTGTAGACATTTGTATGATACAATGTAAAGGTTACAATCAATATCACCTCTGTTGTTTTCGGTTGCTTTACTTGTAACAATAAAATGTATATATATCCTCTGTTGTTGTTTTGACAATATGTGATGAATGTACATATCGTAATCCTACCTTCGCTGATTTAGCATATTATTCAGGTTAGATACGTTGATCTGTTGGCGTTAATCATTTGTGCTATGTCTCCGTAATTCGAACGCTTAGAAGACAGATAGTTTTCGAGGTACAATCAAAACGTACAGGTGATTATACCTCCCTCACCGCTAGGTGTCGCTAGGATAGCAAGAGGGTATAAATAGGCAGAATCCAGCGACAATCGGCCCAGTTCTGTTCTGATCTCGGCGAGTGTATTGCATGGAAAGATCGCAAGTACCTAATATATGCCAGACCGGCTTTGTGTTTGAAAGATAGAAGTGACTGAGTAAGTCTTGCCTTGATCCACACACTGCCTGGAAGATATATTAAATAAACGATTGAGTGCTGTAGCGGGATACTGTTGGACAGAAGGTGTCACGGGCATAGGCTGTGCAGTGCTAGTCGCGACCAGGCTAGTCGTGACTAGGTATAGTCGTTAGAGCTAGTCGTGACTAGGGATAGTCGTGGTCATTAGAGAGTGCCGTAGTTGTATACTAGTATAAGGCTGTCGTGATCGGCGCGACTAGGTCATATAGCTAGGTAGCTGGCTATAGGGCAACTATAGTGACTCGGGCTAGCCGCGACTAGGTAGTCGAGTTGTGTACTGCCTGAATTGTTCGGTAGTGGGTGTAGTGGGTTATATTCATACAGAGCAGATAGCTTTGGTATTAGTTCTATGGTCGTGCGGTAATTATTCTGTTCATATCATGTAATAAGCATTAGGTAATAGGTATGCTGGTTACAAGGTAGTAACACATATTTGTATATATTTGCAACTGTAGTATAGTTATAATTAAGCTTACAACACAGGGATCCTTAGAAGTGACTAGGGTACGGACCCCGGAACGTTACAAATATATCAGTATTACCCCTGTTGTTGTATGTCGCGTTTGTCATAACAATATATCAGTATTGCCTCTGTAGTTGTATGTGGCGTTTGTTATAACAATATATCAGTATTACCTCTGTAGTTGTATGTGGCGTTTGTTATAACAATGTACCAGTATTACCTCTGCAGTTGTATGTCGCGTTTGTTATAATAATATACCAGTATTACCTCTGTAGTTGTATGTCGCGTTTGTTATAACAATATATCAGTATTACCTCTGTAGTTGTATGTCGCGTTTGTTATAACAATGTACCGGTATTACCTCTGTAGTTGTATGTCGCGTTTGTTATAACAATATACCAGTATCACCTCTGTAGTTGTATGTCGCGTTTGTTATACCAATATACCAGTATTGCCTCTGTAGTTGTATGTCGCGTTTGCCATAACAATATACGAGTATTACCTCTGTAGTTGTATGTCGCGTTTGTTATAACAATATATCAGTATTACCTCTGTAGCTGTATGTCGCGTTTGTTATAACAATGTACCGGAATTACCTCTGTAGTTGTATGTTGCGTTTGTTATAACAATATATCAGTATTACCTCTGTAGTTGTATGTTGTGTTTGTTATAACAATGTACCGGTATTACCTCTGTAGTTGTATGTCGCGTTTGTTTTAACAATAAATCAGTATTACCTCTGCAGTTGTATGTCGCGTTTGTTATAACAATATATCAGTATTACCTCTGTAGTTGTATGTTGCGTTTGTTATAACAATATAACAGTATTACCTCTGTAGTTGTATGTTGCGTTTGTTATAACAATATATCAGTATTTCCTCTGTAGTTGTATGTTGCGTTTGTTATAACAATATAACAGTATTACCTCTGTAGTTGTATGTTGCGTTTGTTATAACAATATACCGGTATTACCTCTGTAGTTGTATGTCGCGTTTGTTAGATTCAGACAGTGTGACTTCTATTGTTTTGGCTCGAACTAGTTACAACAATTAAATTAAAGATTGTGCATATAATGGTATGTTATTCCCGTGTCTTTGATTCAATAACGTCTATAAATGTTTCCAGAATCCAATAAACGAGGTTGCTCTATACAAATATACCAGACATCAAACGTCGCCATTCATATAAAACAGCAGACACAAACAAGAGTCTTAAAACTGAATTCCTATACGTTATACCCCATATTGATGTAATATAAACGCCAATGGTAATGATCTCTATTTATTTCTAAGTTTATATCTAATGTTTTGTAATACCGTGTAGGTAATTTATTTGTGACCTTTCACATCCTGAACATCTGCGATGTTTTCCTTTATTTGTATGATATTGTTGTTATACTGTGTACACTTCTTTTGATAGCTGCACTGTGGCGAATAGACTCACACAACTAGTAGTAACACGCATCACACAATAGTTACCATATATACAAAAACACACTCCTCAAATTTTTAAGAATTGTTCATGAATGACAAAGCATACTTTCTAAAAATTATTATGATTTAATATAAATTCTGCATCCGCATATGAAATCAGACTATAATAAACATTAATACAACACACACACGCTCGACACACAACGGCTAGAGAGATGTCTCCATGATGGTCCTACACTGTTGTCTCTGGGATGTGCTAGGCTGTCTAGCACTCTCCGTGCGAATCAGTCTTGAGCTAAATGCACTGTCGTTTTCGTTCTCGAATAAAGGCGTGTCCATCGACAAGGCGTCATCATAACATGGGAGGGAGTCCTCCGAAAGCCCCGACCGCGCAGACCGAACCATCGAAGGACCCATGGAATGTGCACTTGGCGATCTCAGGGGGAAAGCGCATGTCCTTCTTTCTAAGTTAAGTGATCGCACGGTACTTGTCTCTGGATTACTCTTTGACTTTGTCCTTGGTGACCTGTTTAGGCCTAGAACACGAACAGTGGATGTTTGTGTGTTAATGGCTACCATGCACTCCTGTGGAGATGACGGGGAACTAATGGGGTTGCTAGATGTATCATCCCGCCTCCAGGGACCGATGAGTAGGCGCGATTTTCTTCTAGGACGGCTAGGAAATCTGAGATCGATTTGCATATCATTTTGAATAACAAGTCCGCCATTCACTATCGTGTAGCTATGACAACGCCTGAGTGATGGAGAAATCGGGCCAGATGGCAGTCTTTGCAAGGCATCCTGTTTGGTAGCAGACGAGAGCGACCCGTACGTCACGCTCCGCTTAGCACCATATATGGGAGACGTCACGTTACCGTTTGCATCAGGAACTTCGTAAGTCCCATTGGAAGCCATTAAGAGTGCTTCAGAATAACTTGGCACAAGTGCATAATTGTTCTGAATAGTAAACTCAAGATCGGTGCTTGTCATTGTATTTACTCTAGTTAGCTGTGCTATAGGATCTGGCGGCTCACATTCCACGTAATTCGTCCCGAACACTTTGTGCACGTGATAGTGAACATATGCAGTCTTAAATTCGATGATGACTCTCAATGGCCAAGACATTAGCAAACAAGAGGCAATCCAAAATATAACATGAGACACATACCAAGGCAGATTGTTGGGGTCAGCAAAAGTTATCATATATTCCTTGAAATTCACATTAAGAAGGTCCATGCCTTCTCTAGTTTCCATGTAGTCGTCCCGTCGTTCATTCTCACGAAAGAAGCGACTCCGTTGTTCATCGAATTCACACTCGGCGTCAACTGAAGCGAACGAGAAACCCTTGCTGAACTTAATCTTGGTGGCCGGATAGTCCTCTAGACCGAATGGTATGGACGACATATCTTTGATCCCACACTGAGAAAAATTGAAGGCCGAGCCCGCTGTGTGCGAGTTAATGCGCTCGTAATACACTTGCGTGGTTGTGAAGGAGTCTCCATTCCTGTATCTGGTGACGTGACGCGTTTTTCTGACGTAATGGTAGCACAGTGCCTTCCACCACAGGATTGGGATGGCATTACGCATATTACTGATTTTCTCGTACACGGTACCCACGTCAACTTTGTGGTGTAACTCAATACGCGTGTGGCTGTGCCAGCACTCCACCAAATAGACCAAGTACAGCATGATAACGAACGCCACAGGGATGTAGATGTATCCGTCCTCACAAGGACTCGACTGTGTGATGGTCTTGTCCGACCGGCGTGAGCCGTAATAACTAACAACGACGGTCGTAATGATGGCCACACGACACCACGCGATGGCACCAAGGCAACCGCAGATGAGGACGGTCAGAATTAGACATTTCCAGTGGGCGTCACGGCGCAGGGAACCGAAGAACGACTGCTTGATCGGTCTTTGCTGCAATGACAAAATTAAATGGAAAGTCAATCGGTTTACACAGACAACATTTTTCTTGAGAAATTTCACTGCATCATCATAATACAATTCAGTTACAGGCGTATACTGTTTTACTGAAGTTTTAAAAGCCAGATGCAGTCTGAAAATAAACACTTTTTATTTTTGTGACAGTTTATTTCCGAAACCCTGAATATTGTAGTTTATTATGAACGGACAGTTATTATGACCGGAAATGAGCACACTAAACTCGGGATGCCTGTGACGTCAGATAAAGATGGTTGTGTAGCGTTGGTTACCAACCGGTAACTATTTATTTTGTACTAAAAAGTACAATGTCACCAAGGTTAACTCATGTGTATTTTATTTCACATATACAAGTGTCCAAAGGTTTTCTGATTGTCGCATCCTTCCTTGAAATTTCTCATAGTGTTATTTTCTTTGGTTGTTATGGACAAATGAAGATGTTACCATGTTATATGATATTAATGTTATATTTGATATGCTATTTGATGAAATTATTGAATATTTGTGACTACAAAAAAGGATGGATTGCCTCGAAAATTTGACAAATGATATTGATTGAACTGTCACTATTACGTCTAACCTTACAAGTGTGTATAGATGATCTAAATAATACGCATGAACCATTCGCTCGTTCGTGCGTGTGAGCGTGCGTTTGCTCCAAAGTTCTTTAAATCCTTAACTTTATTGATTTATTCATTCAATCAGTCATTGTTTTGTTCGTCCTTCGATTGTTTATTCATGCATTTGTTGATTATTTCAAAAGATTAGTATCAATACGTGCATGCTGTACACGCGTTTTCCCCATAGACAAGTATCTGTTGCTAATAAAACTAATGGAATTTCTGAAAAATAGGCATGTATAAGCTAAAACGTACATTATAGGGCAAAAAATCAAGTATGTCGAATCAGATAGATGCAATGCCCAAAAGCATGTTTGAATATAACAGCGAACTATGGACCTTTTGGACCTTTTGGAAGCATTTATTGCAATAACTTTGAAACAGGCTAGCAAACTTTAAACTGAAGTGTTTTTTACAGACTTATATTTAGATGGTCATGAACAGAATTGTGACACCACACCAAGATATTCACCAACAATATGAAGCCTAGCTAATTTGTAAATTGCATCAAAAAGTCCTTCCATTAATTCTTTTAACACCATCAACAATTGCCCAAAACCAATGAGTCCCTGAACTCACAGAGGCGACCATTCGATCTTGAAAAAAACGTTTGTCTACAGAATATTGGATGTTTCCCATAATAGACGATCATCCTCTGTTGACGCAGCAACCGACTCTTTAAGGTGTTTGTACACTATTCAGCCATGGTTTGGGGAGGTGTACATTGTGCCGTACGAGGTTGCTGTACCCGTGGACATGAGATGGAAACATGGTTATTCAGGGATACAGTCAATGCTTATGTAAATGAAATCAATATCCGAAAGTTACCTCAACCACTTTTCGTTTGTTTGCAAGAAGATGCACAGCAATGTGTGCATGTCAGGGGCAGATTGATGACCACTAAACATCGTGTGTAAGTACGGTATAGTCAGTTTACACCATACCAGACTCAGATATTTGTGAGCGAGACCATTTACCCTGTCAGGTAATGTGATCAGTGAAGAGTTACAGGACTGATGTGGGTTACTAATTGGTAGATTTATGAATACGGTTTCCACTAGAGATATCTTAATCCTATCATCTGACTCTTAAAACAGGGTTGTAGGCACTTCATTTGGAGTTTGTGCTGATCTGTTTAGAAAGTTATTGCAGGCAATGGTTATAGGAAGATTTAAATTAAAAAGCTTTAATACTTATGATCGATGTGTCCAACACTATAAATCATTTTGATATAAAATAACCGGGATTTGCCTCTAAACATGCATACATCTGTTTACAGCGGGGAAACGTCATGTGACACTCAATAAAACAACAGAATCCATTGCACAAATTTATGGTAAACAGTAATTGAATTTAGATTGGTTAAACGTAAGCGAAGGCAGAAACAATACCTTGTGAATATTTACTCATTCTGTTAATGAGTATTGGCAACGGGGAAACATTAAGTATCACTGAAGTCTATATCACGTATCGTAATCTTCTCTTCGTATTTGTTTACACCAAAATAATAATCTTATACTTCTAGCAACTTAAAGACAGCCATAGGAAAAACAAAAGGTGTTCCGTCTATGGCCTTACTATTTATTATATTATGTATGTCCATTTCGGGCGATTTCTTTAAAACAAAATTATTCACCAGTATACAACTATTTCCGACAACGTATTCACGTTTTTTAACTCATAAAGGTAGGAGTAGTTCAATAATTCAATCAACAGTCGCCCGAGTTCGATATAATTTAATTTCGAAGAAACAAGTAATATTGATGGCGGACAAATGTAAGCCACAGAGAATATTTGATTGACATCAAACAGTGAAAATGGCTCCACAAACAAAGACAATTCCTTGTTAAACTGTAGAACAATGACTCTCGTGATCACGTGCCGTTATCGAAATTGGAATTGAAGTAAATTACCAAAGGTCGGCTAAGCGATGTGATTTAATTACGAAAAAATAGCGTATGTAAACTATATTAAAGAGTGGTTGACGCGAGACGTCTGTTTGTGGATGTGGAGCGTGATTAGTCGATGTGAACCTTCAGGAATATCCTCTACACGATTGACAGATTACGTGGCCAGATATGTCCTCGCTAATTCAATTTAGATATTAAGTTTCCACTAACGGGGTTTTATGTTCACTGTAGAATGGCGTCTGCTGCTCTCGTTTACCTACGCGAACTGATCTGGCAATGTCTTATGGTTAACTGATAGAATAAAACGGAGGTGAACTTAAACTGGGGCTACATGAGTCTTATTGTACGACTGCTGACATAGATCCACACGGATATTGGCAAAAAGCACTATTAAGAATTAAGCATTTACCTATGGTGGAAGGCTTTTTCAGACTTTCTGTACATAACGTCAAAGAACACAAGACAAACACTGCTTCAATGACTTGTTTGTGGTCGTTGCTAATCAACATTACAACAGGCATTAGGTAGTTTTTCATTGATAGCAATAGACAGCAATACTCTAGTGCTAATTACCACTTCTATTTACTACGTGCAATGAGTAAGTTTGCATTCGCTTTAAAACCTTTGGTTTAATGAAATACTGATTTCCAATTATACATTACTTCAGATATAAAGGATGTGTATGCATAGTTACACAATGTGGTAGATACGAAGACCTATTCGATCTAGCGCCATGCATATTCGTCATCTGTATCGAATGTATTGAGCTACCATCTAACGGACGCCACAATCGTCAAAGTTGAGTGCTTATGTAAATACAATGTCCATATCGATATTTTGCATAGAACAAAAAACGTTTGGTCTGTTTTGTCACTGACATCATGCATGGAGTTATAACAGCCGACAGAACAGACAGAATAGCTGTAATGGCCGACACATTATTGTGGGAGTGAGTTGTAACAACCAACATGCAGTATAGTGTGGGGATGGAACTGTAATGGCCGACACATTAGTGTGGGAGAGAGACAGAATAGCTGTAATGGCCGACACATTAGTGTGAAAGAGAGTTGTAACAACCGACATGTAGTATAGTGTAGGGGTGGACCTGTAATGGCCGACACATTAGTGTGAAAGAGAGTTGTAACAACCGACATGTAGTATAGTGTAGGGGTGGACCTGTAATGGCCGACACATTAGTGTGGGAGTGAGTTGTAACAACCGACATACAGTATAGTGTGGGGATGGAACTGTAATGGCCGACACATTAATGTAGGAAAGAGCTGTAAGAACCGACATGCAGTATAGTGTAGGGATTGAGCTGTAACAACCGAC